TTAAAAGTGTAATTTTGTTGCATGTTCTTTGCCCCCAGGCTCTTCTGAAAATACATTGGTGCATAAAGAGGAGGGCATGTTGTGCCTCATGTCATCCCTGTAACAACAGACTTGAGATCCAAAATTGTTGGCAGTAGATTGTCACCCTTTCACAGCTTTAAACACACACAAACCACTTCATTCCTCCCCTTAGTGTCACCATGTAGAGGATCCATGATTTCCCAAGTGGTAGAAAGAGAATTAGCAAAATGGGCTATAAGTAGATGGTGCACTGACCTTGTGTCTTGACAGATTTGTCAATCAATATTGAAATTTCATAAAATAAGCCTCACTGCTGGCTCCATCCTGCTGTTTCCATCCTACCTAATAAGCACTGAGCATTGCTTCTCATTTTCAAGCAATGGGCTCTGAGACCCCTCAGGTGAGACCTTCAAGTGGTCATTGGAAAGCCTGTGGCACCCTGCCAAAGAAGGGGAGTGGGTTTCCAAAGCATGCGCCCCCAGCACTCAGCTGTGTGGGCCATCTGTAACATCAGAGCAGATAAGTAAATGACAACCAAAAGGGTCACAGGACAAAATTAAATGTTGCACTAAGGAAATACCCGCAAAATCATTTCTGCTTGCCAGACAGAACAATTTCCACAATCCATGCCTTGTTCTGGGGGTTTTTCTGACTCTCCCAATAAGATTTGGGGGAGGGCACAGGAGTTGTGTGGTGAGGAAGAAGAAGGGGGAGAGTCCTGTCATGATAGTGGGACCTGTTGCACTGGAACAGGAAGGAGTAGGCAACCTAAGGCCCATGGGCCACAAGCAACACATGGGGGTCATTTAACTGGCCCACCAGCCACCCCCAAACCAAGCTGCCCGCTCGGTGAGTCTCCGCATGCTGTGCTAAACCGGCGTGGCACGGGGACTTGCTTCTGCAGCACTGGAAATGGTGTCTGCACAGATGCAGACACCGGAAATCATGGGTGCACGGGCTTACGCATGCGTGCAATCCAGCCCATGGCAGGATCTCCACTGGAGTGAACTGGCCCAGGCCAGGTAAACCTTGCCGACCCCTGCACTGGAATCTGCTAGTGCAACAACTAACTTGGATCCAGCTCATAGTTCCCCTGCCAACAATGGTTATTGTGACATCAGAGTCAATCAGCCAATAGCATTAAAAATGTGAGCCTATTGGAGAGGCAGAGAAGCTGAAAGTGAAAGTAAGATGGGAGAAAGGGATTGGAGGGCCTCATCCATAGCCTCACTTAATGAGGGCGTTGTTTGCTAATTGTAACTTAGTGGGGTAAGCCAGTAAGAAGTTTTGTAGAGATTGCATTCAAATAGTAGTTCATGGCAATTCAGAGGTAAATTGCCTTATGATACTCCCGTGATGCTTTCTGCTTATTTGCAGTTGTCAAAATACCCTTTCACTATGCTCTTGGTGGCTTATACCTGCATGCAAATGCCTGAGAGACCATCCCTTAGAATTCACTCTCCATTCTTCTGGAGAAAAGTTAAGAAACTGGGTATGCATCTCAGCAAGTCTATAAATATTTCTAGTAGAGCAACCTGGGGAATTGGAAAAGGAGGGGTCCTGGTACAAGACCATGCAAACAGGTATGCACAAATGGTTATCATGAGCCTGGAACACATACCATAGAACAAGTGCTATCAGAACAGTATTGTGTTGTAAAGACCTCCCATAGATTTCCTGGTGATTGCCAGCATTTCATAAACATGTCATCTGAAAGAAACCGAGGGGTTTGATCACGAGGAAGTAACATTTCCCAGAACGGGTTAGAGGAGCTAGTCAGCCGGTGGGAATCACAGCTCTTTCAAATTCCACAAACAATTGCCTTACATCTGGAGAAACATTTCCATCACATGGAGCCAAGTGTCTACAAAGGTTTCCTCACTAAGAGTCTGAATCCATTTTAATCTGAAGGATTTGAAAGCAATTTATTGCAAGCATTTAAATGTTCATATGCCAGGCAAGGAAGGATACCCTGTTTCATACCCTTTAATCTCTCGTCTCATCCCTCTTCATTACCACTACTCTTTGCATCATGTCCAAAATGATCTGGTCTAGATACTCAAAAAGAAGTATTGATTGTAGCAGCATGAATTTCTTATTTTAAATTGTGCAAATTCATTCAAAATGTCTCTCTTCAATGCACTTCCAAATTTGCCATGCACCAAATAGACACTAAAGGTCTAGTACTTATTATTTTATTTATTACCTATTATACACTGCCTTTCAGAGCTATGCAGCTTACGCCAGGCAGTTGCCATGAAGCAAATTAAAAAACAAAACAGAACGTAATAAATCTAAAAAACCAGCAGTAATATAGTAAATAGATGCCGTAGTAAATAAATAAAGCTGTGTACATGCTCCCATTTATTCTGCATACAGTGCTCTCCCATCGTTGGTTTGGGAAGCAGTGTACACACTTTAGCCAAATCCATATCTATCCTGTTATGTATGAAATACTGTGCTTTGAGAAAAAGTCTTAGCTGTGTTTTTAAGCTGGTAACATGAACACAGCTCAAGTGTTAAGAGTTTAATCAAAGGATGGTAATTATGTAATATTGCATAGGAGATCGCACTCCATTCTGAGTGGCACTAGCTAAGGGTTTGTGCTGATACAGTTTGCAGAAAACAGCAGGAGCCCACGGCTGAAATTGCAATTCAGGTGTTTCTCTGGGTTCTGCTCCAGAATGATCATTCCCAGCCAGCTTCAAAAGCATTGTGATATTTTATTAGTATGGAGGTGGAGGTGAATGCTTGCCTTGGAGGTGAGATGGCAAAGGGTTGCAAGCAGTAATCAAAGAGGAGGCTTTTTGCAAGAATATTAAATGTGACAATTGGCACTTAATGACTCACTGTGTAACCATGGCAGGAGGAGATGAAAGCAATTAGCCTCTGATATATGAGCTACAACAATATTCCGAGCTAATAATCAGCTATTGAAAGTACTGTATTTAATCCCCTGACATTCCTGGTTCAATCAACTGCTTTTCAGCCCCCTCATCCCCTCAGTTTCAGATCTCATTTGAATGGTGGATAGAACAAAGATGGGGGGTGAACTAATATTTTCAAAGAGGCAGGTTAAAAATCTGGATGGACAAAGAACATTTCTCTACTTCCCTTTCTGGGCAAAGTTAATAAGCAGTTTGGGTGAAAATTATTGTTGTTGTTTTCCCCTCCTGCAGTAGCACAACAAGAGATTTTCATATATGAGAATGGCTGATTAATACACTGACATTGACATGCATGTGTTAGCTGTCAAATGATCAAAGGTACGGTGATGTTGAGTTGTAACATTTCCCAACTAGTCACTCAAATTATGATTTATTTATTTTTTGTATCTTGGAAACAATTGATTGTTTTTCTTTTAACCCCTGTCTTTTTAAACCATCTACTCCTCCACCACCACATTATGATCCATTAGCTTTATTTAAGAACCTAAGAACCACCTTGCAGGATGAGGGCAGTGGTCCATCTAGTCCTGCATCCTGTTCTCACTTTGGCCAGCCAGATACCTACAGGAAGCCCCCAAAGTAAGACCTGAGCACAACAGCACTCTCCCTCCTGTGGTTCCCAGCAACTGATGTTCAGAGACATATTGTCTCCCACTGTGGTGGCAGAGCATAACCACTGTGGCTAGTAGGCAATGATGGCACCCTAAAGGCTAACAGCTTTATTGTGACATAAGCTGTTGAAGCCGGCATTAGTTCACAAGAAACTGTTAGGCTCTGTTCAATGGTGTTGCTCATCTGATGCTGGCAAGGCTTCACGTAGTCATTCTACGTGCTCTCTCTCTCTCTCCAGCTAGGAAGTAGACATCCTCCCCCCCCCATTTTGTTTCCATTTTTAAGAAAAAGATTGCAAATTCAAGGCAAAGACTGGCCTTTGTGAAACAATCAATCAATGTGAAACAATCACTTTAGGCAGCAAATTCTAGAGGGCTACCAATAATCTGGTGCTGATTTACAGAGGATGGGGGGCTGTAGAGAAGAGAGGGGCTCCCTAAAAATTGCTGTCATCCTAACTACGCTGATAGAAATCTTACAGGCATCAGCTGAGCAACCCCATTGGATAGAGTCCTAACCATTTTTGTGTGTGGAGCAGAGCCCACTTCAACAGCTTATGCCACAATGAAACTGTTAGCCTTCCAGGTGCTGTAAGACTCCCTTTTTGTTTCTACAAGAACAGTAAACAAGGGGGGGAGGTATATGGGGACTCTGTTTTCCCAGCCCCTGCTGTGTTGCATCTGTTCCACATTCTAAATAAACCACAGAGTTGTTTATTGTCGATGGGGGAGAGAGAAGATCCCTTAACTCTAAATTCTAAGGTACATGTTGTTTTTTTAAATTCCTCCCCCACCCTCTTCAATTTGTCTGCAGGGTTTTTCTATTTCCCTGGCATATTGGCACCACCAAGTGGTGATGTTCTAATCTGCCATGGAATTAGTGCTAAATGCTTGGAAGAGGATAAAGAAACAACTTCTCAAAATATGAGGAGTGCAAACTGAATGGCGCACAAACTGGTCTTGTTTTCTGTGCAGAGCCATGGAAGTTACTGTAAATAAATAAGAATTTTATGGCAAGCCAACGTCTCCTGCCTCAAACTGAGAAATTGGGACTTCCCTAAACCTTTCTTGACAGACAGTATTGATATACTGCAGAAGACAAATGTCATCTGTGTACTGTGAGGTTCAGCTTTATTCTAATGATGCTCTGGCCATTTTCACACCTGCATGTGGATGAGAGCTGGCCATGATCACTATTTCCCTCTATGCAAAAAAGATTGCATGAACTCACCCTCTGCCTCATTGTAAATGTAGAGGCTTAAACTTTCCCCCTTTCCTCATTGAGTATTATTGACATGAGAATTGCTGAAACTTTAGTCCAAAACAATATTGATCAGGATGCCTTTACTGGGCATTTCCAGCATGCCACAGAGTGAGTGCAGAGTAGACCACACAGATGGAAACACTGAAGAGATGCAAAGAGATCTTTGTAAGGTTTAATAACAAAACACCTCTAATGTGCATCTCACATAGTGTCTATAATCATCACCCATCCATCCACCAGGGGTGTAAGATGCAGAGTAAAGCACATTATATACCATTCACAATTGCTGACACAGCTAATTACAGTGACTTATCAGCACCTGCTACACTGCTACACAGCTGAAAAACTAGGTGAGGATTTAACATTTAAACAAACTATTCAACAGTCTTGGGCCTCTCTGGATCTCCTTTTTTAATATCATTTGTGCTTATGGTGGTATCAGGGCAGTTATACATGACCCTGCTTTTGGTACTGTTGGTGCCCCCAAAGATTTTGAGGCAGGCATATGGCTTCGTTTCCAATTGGTGCATATCCCATACCATCCTGCTAAAATCCTTTAACTTTTTCTTATTTTTTACTCTAGCTACTTTGCTTTAAAAAAATGTTTTGCCCCACTTTTGTTACACCAAGAATGTCCCACCAGAGGACATTAATAAAACAACATTGGGGAAACATCGCAGAACAATGAAGAAATGATTGAGCTTGTATATATAAAAGTGCTTGTATATAAAGTTCTATATGACTTGAGGCCCAAGCTGTTGAGTCTCCATATGCTCCAGCCATACCTTATGGTCTGTGGTAGAGGCCTTTCTAACAGCACCACTGCTACAAATGACAAGGAGGGTGGGCTTTCTCTGTGGCAGCACCTTGTCTTTGAAACTCCCTCCCAGAGGAAATTAGGCAGTCCCCATCCCTGACCATATTCAGGAGGAACTTAGACCTTTTTAGTTGTAGCTTGTTAAGGGTACTGGGAACTGTAGCTCTGTGAAGGATAAACTGGAGTTCGCAGGATTCTTTGGGAGAAGTCAAGAGCATATTGGATGTCCTTTGATTTTATGGTGTGGCTATGCCCCTGCAACTTCAGCAGGCCCAAAGGCCATCTGGGCACTGTCTTCCCCATTATGGTGAGATTGTTTGAATTTCTATTTCAATTATAGTAATTATTTCTAAATTTGCATCTGTATACATGTAAAATTGGCATATGCAAATCTTCATCTTTTTTTAGTGAGGCATTTCCTCTCTTTTGGGAATGCAGAAATGGTCACACTACTTTGGGTGCAATCCCGCTGGAACAGAGCATGTTCAAGTCCCATTCATTCACTTCAGTGGAAGCATTTGGCACAAGCTTAATTTTCAGCTTAATTACATTTTTGGAACAGTGCTGTATGATTAATGAGATCCCATTTTTGTTTGGGAATGGTTTTCCTTTAGTTCCCTGGACAGTTTTGCATGCATATACTTGATTCTAAGTTCTCTTCATTCATTGCCCTATCATCTGTTTACTTAATCACAACTGAACGGAAGAGTTTCTCCCATTAAACTTCTTTTCTTTACATCTTGTATATGTAGCAGTAGGATTATAACAGTTTGGTGTCCTCTGCACCATTGGCTAGATTGAACTATGCCATTATAACAGCCTTTCTCAAGCTTGGGTCCCCAGACATTGTTGCACTACAACTCCCACCATCCTGCTAACTAGGGATAATGGAAGTTGTAGTCAAGCAACAACTGGGGACTCAAGCTTGGGAAAGGCTGTGTTTTTGTATACTTGCTTACGTTTGGGTTCAGGGGACATACAGTAGCTCAGCTTTCATAAAGTGTCTGTAATCAGGTGGATGCGTCAAAATCTTGCCTGAATAGCAATGTTTATTCCAGCTTCAGCCTGAAGCATAACTGAATGGAGAGAGTCAAATAATGAGAGGTATATATATACCCTGAGATATTCAGGAAGGGCAGGAAGTAGCATTCTTAAATATATATTGACAATATATCACAGTCACATAATGTCCAGACTCCAGAGGGGTAGCCACAGTAGTCTGTTGTCACAAGAACAACAAAAAGTATTTTGGCACCTTAAAGGCGAACATTTTTTTTTTATGGCATAAGCTTCTTTGAACTAGAGTCCACTTCACCAGATGCACAATGTGTAATTCTTGCTGGTCAGTTATATATCTACATAAGGGTGTAAAGAGAAATGTTAAAGTTGGAGTTAAATGACAATGAATTGAAAAAGTTCCATCCGTGACCATTCCGTTAAATATATGCAAACTGATCCTTCACAGCATCAGCAATTGGCAACAGCACACTCATTTTAGACAATACAACTGGAGTTTAAATTATTAAAAGTGAGTGCAGATACCCTTCACAACAGCAATGGTGGTGATGGGGATAACAGCATCATCTTAGCACTGCTGAGTACATTTAACAGCAGCAGCAGAGCAGAATACCATTGTCTCTCTTCAGACCCAAATGAATAGAATTGAACTTTTTGAGAATTCGGCAATTTCATGCTGGAGTTTCCATTGGACGTTCCTTTGGTCCTGCCCTAACTACTCAGGGTGATATTTGAGCAATAGAATGTTCGTTAATAGTGCAGTTTATGTGAGGGAAGTGGAACATAAGAATGGATAGAGGAAAAGAGACTTGGAGGAGCTATGTACTGTTGCCATAAAGAGCAGAAAATGCAAGATAGGGGATAGGTGAGCTCTAGGATAGATCTAGGTAGGGCTGGAGGAGAACTTTGCCTGAAACCCTGGAGAGCCACTGCCAATAGACCATACTGATCTAGATGAATCAGTAGCGGCCTGAAAAAGGAACCTAAAGGAACGGTGAGTAAAGAAGGCAGGGAGTAGTGGTGGTGGTGGTGGTGGTGTAGGAAGCAATTGTCCTAAAGGCAGAAAGGATTGCATGCTGTCAGCAGAAGTATACAGGCAAAGAACAGGACCAAGCATCAAGAAGAGCAAAAGTGTATGGAGAGATGTACTTATGAGTCAGTCTTTATGGCTGTTCTGAATGGTTTCATGCATGCTCTTGGATGCTGCTCAGTTCTTTAGATTGTGCTCCTTGCTGTTGGGAGGGATCATTTGGCCCTAGAGCAAAGGCAGGTTTGCATTAGGAGCGATCAGTGGTCAACCATAGGCAAGCTTTTGTTTTTGGGTCTGACTCAGTGAATGAATTTGGCCAAGTGTCATTCATGGGTCAAGAAGCATGGCCATGGGAGGTCATGGAACCTAAATCTCTCACTGGGTTACCCAGAGCAGCAGATAGCTAGAATTCCAGCTCAACATCTGATTTTTTGCTTCATGAGACAGATGTTTAGGGCAAAAGCATCTGCTGTGTTTTCGCTCTCTCACTCTGCATCTCTTCTTCTCATTCCTCGTTCATGCACAACAGTAAAAAGAAAAAGAAAAAAAGAATTAGGTTGTCAAACACTTAATAATTCGTTTCCATCACAATCTGATGAATGGAATTTTTACATCATTTGCTGTAGTTTTACGGGGTAACAGTGTTCACTGAGGAGGAGAAGGCGATGGTTTATACAGTGAAGAAAAGGCGAAACCAGAGAACGAATGTTATGGTTGTGAGTGGTTCACCTGCATAGAGAACTAGGCACATCTGCTACAAAATTTGGTTGATTTTTATACCAGTTTAACACTCATGACTTGCATAAATAATCCCAGGACCTGCAGCTTGCTGAGGCTGCTAATTATGTCTTATTTATTAAAGTATTTTCAACACCACTCTTCAGCCAAAGAAAGCTTCCAGGGTGGTTTGCAGATATCAACGGCAGGACAGATCTTACCATCAGATTTATAATCTGAAAGTGGCACAAAGGGGGAAAAGAGAATAGGAGATAGGAGCAGGGAAAGCCAACTCAAACACTAGTTCTTATTTATAAAGTTTTAACGACAAGCTGGAATGGAAACAGTTCAAAGAGAGCATGAGCCAAATGTGGTTTGTATCTCAGTTGAGCCAATGGAGTGGCCCTGCTTCCCTTCCTCCCCCCTTGACTGCAGTCTGATGGAATGGCTGCTGTCAGGTGACAGCTGAGGGAAAAGGAAAGCTGATGATGCCTTCAAAGATCTATAAAGAGAAAATTTATAGCCCCTTACATTTCCCTGGAGGGCAAGAGAATAGCAGTTAAACTATTTTAGATGTAGATGGGCCTTAAGCATTTGGTTTTCAGCCTGGTCTTCATGCTTTGGGGAACAGAACAGCCATTCACAAAATATTAGCGGTCATTCTCTGTGTCATAAAGGGATTGTGGTCTTCTGAAAATCTGATTTGAAAGCTCTTTGGTTACAAAAATAAAACAAAGCACGTTAACAATGGAATTTTTTTAAAAAAAGCTTTCATATATTAATGTAAATCCTTTCACACGAGATAACTGAAAAATTTAAAAGTAAACTTACCCCAGTATTTGAAGATAAGGCAAATCATAACCAGTTTATTGAAAAGATTTGGTACACTAAGAGAAAACACAAGGTTTGAAATATTAATTTCAAAAAGCAAACACTCAAAAGGAATCATAGGAGATATATATAAAATAACTGCAGAAGTGGAATCATCCCAGCCTAGATGTCAATCAAAATGGGATACAGATATGACTAGCAAGATATCTCAAGAAAAATGGGCCTCGTTCTGGGAGAAACATTTCCAGATTTACACTTTGTAGGAGTTTAAAATTTATAAAATCATGCCTCATTGGTATCTGTCTCCAGATAGACTGCATAAAATATATCCAACAATAAACAATCGGTGTTGCAGATGCTCCAAATGTGACTATTTGTCATGTACTTGGAGGAATGTCCGATTATTAAATTATTTTTGGAGTCAGTATTAACAGAAAGCGACAATGTCCTTGGCTAAGTCCACCCCATGAATCCTATTCTAACAATATTTGGATATCTCAACATCATCATTCCAGAGTCAAAAATTGGTAGCCTATTTATTAACTGCAGCAAAAATTTGGGAAATGACCTTTATGACTAAAGTTACAAGTCTTAATAAGAGTAAGAGAAGACATACAAATAGAATATAATTCTACCAGAAAATAGAGTTTGTTTCTACTATATGCAAGGTGCAAGAGCAAATAAATCATTATTCCCTGTTAAGAGGCATATAGACATTAGAGAAAACTATGAGTTGGCCACCCCTGCAGTATGTCATTGGCATACACAGAATGTGCCTAATCCACATTTTTTTCAAATATCTAAAACAATTTCATTCATAAACAGCAACAAGGCACAACAGTTTATCATTTTAGCTATTGGATTATTGCCTTAAACACATGCGTGCACACACAATTCCACTAATGCCCATGTACAGAAGACTAGATTTTTTTAAATTTTTTTATTTTTAAGTTTTTATTGTTAAAATAATTCAGCATTAATACACACATATTGCGAATATACAAGCATACAAACATACATTTCATACAATCCTTAAAAATATTCAAACATACCTACATTCAGTCCCACAGATAATTCATTTTCCCACCACCATCCCTCAGGGGGTGAGGGGTGAGAGAAGACTAGTTTCAAATAATGTAGAATACTGAAAGCTTGATCCTTTTTGTTGTTATCATCATTATTGTGTTTTTTTAAAAAAACCAGTCTTGATTGCTTCACAAGTATCATGGTGTGGGAAACTTTAATGTGATGGAATTCATACAAATAGACATGGCATCAAAGTGTCTGAAGTCCTTTGGGAGGAAAGGCAGGTTCGAAATTTAATAAATAAAATGGCACCCTGGGACACAAAGGCATTTAGGTAGGAATGAATGAATCATGTTGCTTCTGCGTCAAAACTCACTGGCACACTGTATTTTTGTTTTTTCCTGAATTTGTATATCTACCTTTTAAATCTGGATTCTGGAGGGTGGGGTAGTCAATTGATTTTCCTCTTCCTTCATTAAGAATAGATTTATTGTACCAACATAGTTTGATGCAGCTATCTGTTTATGCCAGCATGCTGTGCCTTGGTGAAAGCCTAAGTCAGGCCCAATAGAGGGCATTGATGAGAACATTTATAGAACATTTATGAATGATTATGAAGGCCTCCCCAAGTATTTTTGAGTGGACCTCAGGATTTACCATCAGAAATATGTGTATTTCCTGAATTTGATGCATAGTTTGGGAATTGTATTATCTTTCCTGTATCTGATGTATATTTTGTGAACTTTATACTTCATTAAATTTATGTATATTTCCTGAATTTGATGATACTGTGTCAACTATATAAAGGACTGTGTATATGTATGACTTCATTTCCACGGGGGCTAGAGAAACTTATCTTAGGACCCCACAGGTTGAAAACATGTAATGTAAAACTAAGGAGTACAAAGGCTTAAACCTAGATCTTAAGGGGAACTTGCTTTGCTAAGTTCACACAGCAAGCATTCAATTTTTGGCAGCTCCAACTGTTACCTTATCCCACCCTTTCATGCTATTTGACTACATTAGCATCCATTTTATTCCAAGCTCACAAAGGACCTATCTCAAATCTATTACCTATCATTGGAGTGATGCCCCAGCATGGTTGTAAGATCAGTGTTGCTGTTCCAAAATAACATCTGGACGCTATCCTCCTATTCTCTTAGTCTGCAGTAGAGGTTGCAATTGTTACCATTAAGTAGATTAAAATAACCGAATGTGTATTTGTTTTAAAACTTTTCTGAATTGCCCTTTCATTTAAAAATAAATAAATCCAGGCTGGTTTACCATAGTTCATACAACACAATAAAAGAGCAATAATCAATAACGTGGTTAGGGGGAGTAAAAGACAGTCCTAAAAACAGTTGCAGCAGAAGTGAAACACCGGAGGTTTAAAGTATGAGAAAGGGGGAAAACATAGTACTTAAAAAAGATTAAGATATCTGTCAGGTGAGCTTCTCTAAGGTGAGAATTCCACAAGTTGGATACCACAGGCAGGAGCACCACAATGCATGTTGTTTGTCATTGCGTTCCTCAGTACTATATATATTTTTTCTGAATCAAAGGCTGCCATTCTAGGCATGCTTAGCTGGGAGTAGGTCTCACTGACTTACTTTCAATGGCAGCCTGTAGGGTGATTCACTAAACAAAACCGGCACCATTCCTACCCATATGTTTACATGCTGCAAATGGCCTCCACTCTCACTCCCCCCCATCAGTGTATATGTCAAATTAGTATGTTTGGGCCCAATGCACACTGGCTTCAACTTACCTACTTTTGCCATTTAATTGTTCCAATTATCACCCAGTTTGAAGAGCTTCTTCTGGAGCTCTTTGCTTTTATGCTTTTTAGCAGCCTAAATAATTTGGCGTCATCAGCCCACGGTGAGGCATTCTTTGCCATGGACACACCAGCTAGAAAATAAGTGAGCAAACCACATGCTCAAGATGCTTTGCAGGGTGTGAATGTACATGGGGTATTCCTACACTGAGAGAAGAAAACCTCATTGAGAGACTGTCTTTGAGACCTTTGGAAGAAAGCTTGTATTGGTCTAAGACATGCTTAGACAACGCTGGGAAACCTGCAGCCCTCCAGAAATTGTTGGACTCCAACTCCAATCAACTCCAGCCAGCATGATCAATGGTCGGAGAAGATGGAAGCTGTAGTCCGGCAACATCTAGAGCGCCATAGATTCCCCAACTCTGGTCTAACGTATATGGAAATTAGAAGAGAACAATGATTAACTCGTTTCCACCCCTCTCTTCCATAAGTATGAAATGCTTTCACAGATGTGGACCGCTGTTACAATTGTAATAACTGAAAATCAATCCTTAGAAAGATTAATAAAGGAAGGCAGAGTATTGAGACAAGAATTTATTAGAACCGAATATGAGACTGGGTCCAATTATTAAGAAGCAAAAAAGAGAGAGAAAGAGATAAAAAGAGAAAGTAATATACTGCGAAATTACAGATAGCAGTTGCATTACGTGACTCAAGATTCCAGCATGCTATTGCTTGAACGTATTAAAGCAGAAACGTGTTTAATTAAAATGCACAAAAAGATACAAGCAGGATGTCAATGTAGTGCTGCAGGGGAATACAAAAAGGTTGTCTTAATTATCTCCATAAACTTGACAAGCGTATGTCCTAATTTGCATCAATATTGTAGCAACCTTAACATCATAGTGGTGCTTCTCTTCTGGGTGACCTATTGAACCCAGCTGCAGCAGAGAGGTCATGGCCTTGGAACTCCTATGCTTTTGAGCTCCTGTCTGCATAATATCAGCCAGTTGGGGGGGGGGGGAATAGTCTAACATTTCTCCAATGAAAATAGGGACACCCTACGGAAAAGGAAGACATTCCGGGATCAAATCAATCAAAAAACGGGATGGCTTCTGTAAATCTGAGACTGTCCCTGGAAAATAGGGACACTTGGAGGTTTTGTTGTCCTGCTATTCAATACAATTTTACCAAACATCATACCTAAAGCAGGAACAGCAAACCTACAGCATAAGGTGCAAAATATCCCATTCCCTCTTGCACAGAGCATTCATTAATGATATAGAACTGCTTTGAATTCCAAGACATTGATTGTCATTAGGTAAGCCATTAGGTCTGTTCACAATTTTTAAATTTAACCTGCTATCGATACTCCTGTGCTATATCATTCTCCTACCATTGATTATCCAACCCAGTTCAACCCAGTTGTTTTTCCTCTCTCAGAAAGTTCCTTCATAATCTTAGTCAATGTCTTTTTGTGCAGGAGCAGCCCCATAACGCAGCTAGGACTGATGAGAGTTGCGGTTCAAAGCATCCAGAGAGGACCAAGCTGGGAAATGCTGAGTTGAGGCAATGCATTAGATATGGCAGACCAAACAAACCCTGTATGTGAGGTCTTGCTTTTGCTTTGGATTCTCATTTTGTTGAATGTTGGTTTCTCATTACAGACCGACTTTGGGGTTTGAAAGAAACATTAGAAGTTGTTATGTGATGCCACCAAAATCAGTGTCGTGAATGTGAGCAGAAGCACAAATGTTAACTGCGACACATCACCCTTTGGGTGCTTCCATACTCCAAGCTGACCAGATTGTGTTTCTCTTTCCTCTGCAGAGATCCCTGGATGCCCTGGAATGGTTGAAAGTTGAGTGGGTTAAGCTTTTGCCCTCCTAACCATTTGCAACTCTCAGAAGCTCATGAAGAGACAAGTCTAAGCTCTGCTTTACTTCTGTTGGCACAGAGGAACTCTGCATTCCTTTGCACAGGGATGAAAGGAAGGACAGCTAGCAAACCAAGTTTCCAGGCTGTGAAGCATAAGAAAACTGCAGTGAATGAACCATTTCGGGGATTCAGCTGTGAGAAGCCAAATCAGTTCTGTGTAACTACTGCTTGAGATAGGATTGGTGGAGCCTTCGCAGTGCAATAATGAAAGGCTTTCCTAGAGCTGAAGAACATGAGTTTCCAGAAGTAGGGGAAGAGTTAATGATTTTATTAACTCACCCACACTGTTTCCACTGGAAATATCCTCAAGGAGCTGAAAAGCTTTGGGAAGACATTTTCCCATCTTGTTGTTAGTCTACTTGTGGAAGGGACATCAAATATCTGGCTTCCTGGTGAAGCCAGCAGATTGCTAGGATTGGGACGGGATCATTATGCAGCCCAAACGTGAAAAGAATTTGGGAATTAATACACCGAGGAGCACTCTTGTAAAACCAAATTGGTTTGCAGTGCACATTCAAAGCTGGTTTCTGCTCCTGGAAGTATTTTGCCAACTTTTCCCCAAGCCAACACTTGTCCCTATAGCCAAGTGGTTCCACAAAGACAGAAGTGAATAATCACCTTGTGGTAGGATTTCAAAAAAATTGACTCAACGTTTACCAAGGCCCTTATTCAGAGGCAGTTCTCAGTAATATTGACTTCTGTGCAATTTCAAGAGACCCCAAGAGACCAAGATTGAAAGGCAGCTTCTCTCAATTTTTTTTAAAAAAAGAACTTGCAAGCAACCAAACACCCCTCATATACTGTTCTTGAAGCTAAGCTTTCTGCATCAACCTCCTGGTGTCATAGGATGCCTGCACTCTTCTTTTGGAATCTTGAGATGTCTGGCCTTGACTACTCAGCTCGCTCCAAGTGCTGATGATGTTTAACCCCTTTTGCCAGGAGACACTTCCAAGGCTTTGTAGGAAGGGGAAAGAAGCCTTGTTGAATACTTGGGAGAGACAGACCACTGCCAGAGAAGCTTATGCGAGGAGTCTGGAGTCGAAGTTGGATGGCCAAGGGTGGTTTCAGAAAAGGGGAGAATCTTTCAAGTTGTGGTTTTGTAAGAAAACTCAATTCCCTGTATATTACATTAACAACTCTGAGGTGTTAAAAAAAAAGAAAAAGCTTTCAAATGTAATCTGTTTCAGCCTGGAAGGCAACAGGCAGCTTAAAAATGCAGAAGGAAAGGTTCTTCATTTTGATGATTATGTTAAGGGCTTTGTCCCGTAAGATTTAAAAGATGCCTGGAGCCAAACCATGAATTATTGAGGCTTCTGTGTGTGTAGTGTCCTGTCCCTTTGACGCAGTGTGCAATATTGCTAAGGATCAAAAGACCTTCTACTGTCTGCAGCAAAAGAGAAAGAGAAACCCATGCTATCAACTGCAAGGGGGAATGAAGCTATCCATCAGCAGAGAAGCTGGTGTTCTTGCCATTGTGCATGACAAGTGATTGTACTGCTGTTTGCTCTCATGGACTTTGTGCAAGCATGAGCCTCTTATTCATTGGACCGCTTTGAACCCATTGGATTCCTAAACATCATGTGCAGGGGGGAGAAGGGATTTGGGGCTCTGCAAAGCATGTTGCCTGTGAAATTAAGACACACCGGGCTTCCATGTGTGCTGCTGTAAAGTTGTGGTGTCTATTTATTTATTTATTGGGTAAGGATGAGTTCTGGTTTCTTCACCTTCCTTACTATGGGGGAAGATGGTGCCAAATCTCACAGAGCAATGGGTCACTGGCTGCTCCAAAATAAAAAAAACTGAATCAATTGTGTGATGGTGTGCAATATCTGTCATTTTCTTCTTACTTTGCTGGTCCAGAAGAGACCATGTCAGTATGCTGGTTCCTCTGCAGTGCATTCTGTCTCCATTTCTGCTTTCTTAGGTACGCCATGTGTAGTATAAAAAAACCAAATTTGATTTAATGCTTAGAGGTTCTTTACATGCCCTCTTTGTGTACAATCAGCTGGCCTAGAGCCTCACTGGATATAAACCAGGCCAGCTTCACTACAGTCTCTCTGTTTATATATGCATATTTCTCCAGTGGAGCCTCTCCACTGTAGCTTCCTTTCATGCCTTGCAAGCTACTTGTGCATTCACTGCGTATGCAAACATTTTCATTAGCCACACTGGCATTTAACCATTATCTACTACTACTACTACTACTACTACTACTAATTATTATTTATTTATACCCCGCCCATCTGGCTGGGTTTCCCCAGCCACTCTGGGCAACTCCCAACAGAATATTAAAAACACGATAAAACATCAAACATTAAAAACTGCCCTAAACAGAACCAAACTAGGCAAGACACAGAAGACCAGTGAACAGGATCTCCTGCTTAAATAAATACATAAAAGCAGGCGCAGGGTGTGTTGGAATTATTTACACCGGACAAGAGGGTACACAGAGACTGAACATGGAGCCCGGCACGCTTCCGTTGCGGAACTCTGCAAGCTATCCGTGCCTCCTGCAAGAATCCTCCTCAGGCCTCTTTCTCTTGCCGGTAGCAGAGCGAAACACAGCGGTGAGAAGCAGAGTGCAGCACGTGTGGAATAAATCAGTCCAGACACAAGGCAGTCCTTATCTACTCTTGCCTTTTAATCATGAAGAATAACATCATAAATTCAGACCTGGCGAGAACTGACACATTCTCCCTTTCGCATCACGTCCGAAAGTCAGACTGAAACACACGGAGTCAAACCCCTCCCTTAAGTGTTTCTAACCACGCCTCAGGAAAGAGACGTCACCAGAACTCTTTAACTCTGTGAGTTCTGAAACCATTCACACCCCTCTCGTCACGAATCCTGAGGGGAAACTGTGAACCCCTATTTACAGACCTCTTTGAGTTCAACTCACCTCCCATTGCCTTTTGCCTCCCACTGGCATCCATCCCAGGCAATTGTTGAATCCCTTCCACACTCCCAGAATCACACTGTGCGAAACCAACCCACGCACTGGTGACCTGAAACCTCTCCGGTGGAATCCCCTTTGTGGTCCGAGTTGACCGCCGGAGCACAACCTCAGGCGCTCCTCCTGACCCACTGGGGTCAGCAAGTGTGTCTCCAGCAAGCTCAGAAGACTCCCCTCTGACTTGCTGCGTCTTCGGGCTTCCTGCACTTGGCTAACAGGAGATGAAGGCTCACTCTTGGGTTCCCTCTTAACCTGTGGAGAAACCCACCCCTGTGCTTGACCATCATCAGCAACCTGGTCTTCAGCAACAGGCTCCGCCTCTGCCTCTCCTTCCTCCCTTTCTTCCTCCTTTTCCTCCCCCTCAGAATCGGACAAGCAGTCTGAGAGAAAATCAGAACCATACCTAGGCTGTGACCAACCATCCTGCTCAAAGAACTCAGCATGCTTGCTGACCAGCAGCGTGGTCTGATCACCCTCTGGGTATGCAAACTTCCACCCATTTGTTGCAGGATCATACCCACAGAAGATCATGTCCTGGTACCTAGGACCATCCTTCTTCCGTTGCGCTGTTGGTATTGGCACTGAAGCCTTGGAACCAAACGAACGGAAGAAATGCACCTGTGGCTTCCTCTTGTGCAACAGAAAATACGGTGTGTCACCTACATCGTGATTGTAGGACCTGTTAAAAACAAAGTTGGCAGCTTTCCAAGCTTCACTCCAAAAGCTCTGAGGCAGCCCAGAGTCACCCAGCAAAACTCTGACAGCTTCAGCCAGTGTTTCACTCCTGTGCTGTGCCACGCCTCTCCCTTGAGGAGACTTTGCACCCGTCACGTGGTGACGTATTCCTTTTTCCTTGAAAAACTCCTCCAGAGCAGACCCAGTAAACTGTGACCCTCGGTCGCTCTTGAACCCTTGCACCCTGGTGGAAAACCTTCGTTCCACCTCCGCAACCCAATCCTGGATCAGTTGCGCCGCCTCCCCCTGTGATTTGAGAGAGAAACACCAGCCAACCTGGCTGTGGTCATCTGTCAGCGATAGCACATACTTGGCCCCACCCAGACTCTCACACCTCATGGGTCCTGACAGATCTGTGTGAATCAACTCAAAAGGTTTTGTGGTTACCCTCTTTACACCGGGAAACCTGCACCTTTGAACCTTGCTGCATGCCCTGCACACTAGGGATCTCTCACATGGTGTGATTTTACATCCTTCGGTGCAGCCTGGCAGCCTCTTAACATCCTCCAGACAAGCATGAGACATTCTCTTGTGCCATACATGAACACATGAATCATGGCTGGGAACACTAGCACACTGCGCCTGTGCTTTCCCTGCATTCCCACCACCCTCCAGAGGTGTTTCCAGAACAAAGAGATTGTCCTTGCTCTCCACGTTGACAAGTTGCCTCCCACAACCCCTTGGCTACCAGCCAGGCCTTTAGCTTCCGGCTCCATTCGGCCCAATTTTGTCCATTTAATTTCTCAAAGGGAACTGAGAATGATTCACGATCGTCTGCCATCTCCTCCCCGGGGCTAAGCTTACTCACGTCTCCCGGCAGTAGCTTCTCCGCCTCCCGGCTCCGGCAGATCGCTTCTCCCCAGCGAGCTCCTTCCAGCTTCAAAGACACAGCTCCAGAGCTCCAGCTGGACCCCAGCAACTTTCCTGCTGGCTTCCCCACACGTGGGACGTTCCTGCAATGCTTCAAAGCTTTGGCGAGCTGCCATAACCTGTTGGAATTATTTACACCGGACAAGAGGGTACACAGAGACTGAACATGGAGCCCGGCACGCTTCCGTTGCGGAACTCTGCAAGCTATCCGTGCCTCCTGCAAGAATCCTCCTCAGGCCTCTTTCTCTTGCCGGTAGCAGAGCGAAACACAGCGGTGAGAAGCAGAGTGCAGCACGTGTGGAATAAATCAGTCCAGACACAAGGCAGTCCTTATCTACTCTTGCCTTTTAATCATGAAGAATAACATCATAAATTCAGACCTGGCGAGAACTGACACATTCTCCCTTTCGCATCACGTCCGAAAGTCAGACTGAAACACACGGAGTCAAACCCCTCCCTTAAGTGTTTCTAACCACGCCTCAGGAAAGAGACGTCACCAGAACTCTTTAACTCTGTGAGTTCTGAAACCATTCACAGGGTGATCTTAATTGGGACTATGGTGCCGGAGAGACAGGCTAACCCTTTCACCCCATGCCATTTCCTCCATGTCAACTTCATTTTTAGAAGCTGCCACTACTATATCGGTAACCTGTTTCCCCCCACAAGGTAAGTGGGAGCTTCAGGGGTGCATGGGTTCCTGCAAATTATGCAGGGAGGTAACCCCGCAACCAGTGGTGATCTGTGGCTGGCTGTGCCTATTTCCTCTGATGCCCCATCTCCTCCAAGTATGCCTGATTGGGTTCTGGCCTTGGCCAAATCAAGTACACAGTCCTAATAAAAATCCTTCCAAATTGTATCAGCTCAACACTTTCTGGCCTCTAACAACCTGCCTGTATGATGACCGTGAAATGTTACCAGCCCTATTTAGAGATGATTGGTGTGGGTTACCAATAATTCTCTACACTTGGCAACACTTGTTGCCAAAGGCCAAGATGCTGTTCTATCTATCCCTGCCATTCCCTAGTCCTTGGGGTGCCTAACGTAGCCGCACCTATTTTAGAGCTGCATCCCTTCATCAGGGACATTAATGGAGGTGGCATCAAAACAGCTGCTCAGCATGCAAAGACCACCAACAAAAACCCGTGACATGGAAGTTACATGTGTGGTCATGATGCTCTCCAACATGTGTATAAGAAAGTGTCCAGGAGCAGCTCACATTTGGGCAGTACAATCCCATCGGTCTGCTGTGCTATTCGGCACTAACACCAGCACAACACTGGTGTAGCTTCATCATTTCATCTTACTGATTTCAAACAGCAAAGCAGCCAGCCAGATGATACCATTTAAAAGGAGATATAACGTAGCAGCATCCTGTTACAGTTTCCATTACAGCTCTCCTATTACCCTCCAGTCTTGGTGGTGTGCATCAACAATGCTCCCATGTTAGCCATGCACAGAAGGGACTGATCGATGCAGAGTGACCCCAGGATGCCACCTTTTCTAGGACTCATACAAAAGGGCAACCACAGAGATACTGCACCATCCAAGGAAGCATAGACCTCTGTAGCAAAACAGTCGCAGTTGTCCAACAGCTGCTGTCAATAGCCCTGGACTCCAGGGTTCTCTGCAGAAAGATCTTGGACTTCTTTGTAGCACAGACATATCCAGACAACTCAGACAACCATGCCAAGCTTACACATGGAAATAACACAGCAAAAGACAGAGTTGGGCCTTCAGATCATGCTTCGCCAACCACATAGGTCCATTGGGAAGAAGCATGCATGGAGAACCCATGAGTGACTCAGGGAAAGGATTCGAGACCCATGAGTATCCATTCAAATGATCCATGCAGTGTAGCCAAGGAGAGAGTCTCATGCACAAGGAAGAAAAGGAACTAGAACTGGTGGCTCATGGGGACCAGGATCAGGAGCTACCTGCTAGCTCACCAGGACTGAAAAGCACTGGTAGGATTGAATCTCACACCAGGGAGAAACATTGGATGGACACCGCAGCCCCCAAGGCAAAACTCATCTTTTGATGAGTTGTCAGATGCAAAAAAGTTAGAAGCAACATGACTAGAAACCCACACTTCCCATGACATACAGAACAGTTTTGTTTTGTTTTTTCTACAAAGCCACAAAAAGAAAGATGCATGATGCGAAACTTTGTAAAGTTTTGGGCTCAAGCCACAGACCCAAACATATGACATAGGAGGTTTCCTTATACCAAGTCAAACCATCTGTCTATTTGGCTCAGCACTGCAAACACTGGCTGGCAGTGGCTCTCCAGGTTTTCAGACAGGATAAAAAGCACCCCAACATTCTTGGTGGTTGCATGTGTCTGGACATAGACTAATGCAGCATTTGTTTACCATCATACTGACTCCTGCAGATGACTTTGGTTTCTGAGTCTGAAAAGCTTTGAAGATGCTGCTAGGTTTTGGAAAAATTCGACAAAGGAGCAAATGCTTAAGCTTCATTTTCCAAAACAGAAAGTATCTAAGTTCCCCTGATGCTTTGCGCTCTCTCTCTCTCTCTCTCTCTCTCTCTCTCTCTTTCTCTCAATATTTTCCTCTGAAGTCCCAAGTCTTTCCTTTCTCCACTCACCCTGGAAATTGACGTAGCCCTTGATCTTACTTAAGCATCTGTCTGCCATAAAGCACCCCAGCTTCATCCTTTCATGGCTAGATGCGCAAACATGAATGATTGGAGTTTAAACAGTCTTGATGGGAGCATGTAAAATTACTTTATGTGGCTTTGGTTAAACAGCCTTGTTAAGCTGACAGCACTTGCAAACAAGGCTGCCCAAGTGGGGCTCTTTTATTAATATATTTAATCTTCTCAAAAGGAAAGAAAAATGCTGCTATTCATGTATGAACTACACGAAGAAATGTGTTTGCTATCAGTCACCATACTAGCGTCTAGCTTTTTCATTCTTTTTGCTAGTTTCCCAGCTTGCATAGGAAGTTGTTTTTTCCCCAGATGTCCATTTTCTGCACACACACACACACACACACACATCCCAACTAGGGGTGAAGGAGAAATTTGATTCTGTTTGCACTTAAAGGCAAACCTACCTGATCCTCACTTTCTGAAACAATACACAAACCAGAACACGGCCATCAATCAAAATCCATGCCTCTCTGACCATTGCAAATGCAGTTCTCCAGCCAAGTGGTGCATGTAAAAATGCACCATGGTAAAGTGTGCATAAAAATGTACATAGAGTAGTAGTGAACATAATGTAAAAAAATGCATTGTATCAGGAGAAATTCGTAGTAAAGTGCTAATGAATTTTCATGAGGATTTTTTTTTCTTTAATCGCAAATTGATTTGGAGATGTGAGAACTGAATTTAAGACTGGGAAAATGAGAGATAAAATAAAAAATAACAGCTCCTCCCATTCCTTCCCTCAACTCTTGTTCTAGTTCTAAAAACATTATGGCAGAGTTGGGGAACCTGTGGCCCTCCCATTGTTGGCAGATTTCAGCTTTCATTAGCCCAGCCTGGAGGGCCAAAGGTCAGGCATGATGGAAGCTGTAGCTGAGCAACATCTGGAGGACCACAATTTCACCACCCCTGTGTTATGAAAACAGCAAAAACATAATTAGTTGATGTTATGAAATTTCACTGATATATTCAGCACAGCGGGGGAAATGGTCACATTGAATCTCCAGCTACATCACATCATTTCATTTCTCTTCTTCTGAAATAATCCAAGTTTTATCTTAGTTTATCATTTTGGATTTGAGGCATCCAGTTGCCACTTCTCTCAGAGGAGGAAGATGTGGGAGTGCCTCCTTATGTGCATAGGACAACCATTTAAATCAGTACAAATTTGATTGAACAATTCTTGGATTCAAACCAGTTCCACATGCCCCACTCATCCGGTAACAATTACTAATATAGACAGCCCATTCCACCAAGGAGGAAATATCAGAAAATGTATAAGCCCCAAACTTTACCAAACATAGGAACCTGGAGCAAAATTATTTATGCCACACTTCTAGCAATGCAGATGCAGGGATAATAGGCAAAGGGAGGCAACCGTCTCAAGTGGCAAATGATGGGGAGAAGCAGGATCAGTCCTCCAACTGTTCTTCCTAAGCCTCACAGCCATTCCTATTGGAGAACAGAGTTGTGTATGCTACAGGTCCTCTCCCTCCAAGCCCCTTCCCCACAGTATAACTAGCCCGTTGCCTCAGATATGGTGGAAGAGGCTATTCTAGCATCAGTGCTGAAGTAAGATACATCTGCCAATCCCATCAGCTTCTGTGCCTGGAATGGGAAATGGACACCATCTTGTCTGCTTCATGCAGCAAAATGTTTTGCACCTGCCCTGTAGAGATGATCCAGCAACAGCCTGGTGCACTGAAGAACTCTCTTGAGCTCAAGATATCTATATGAGGTGACCCAAGCTGAATAAATGTGTGTATGCCCATCAAGGTCCTATGCTGTGCTGTACATTATAGTGCTGATCTCTTGCCTTTGGGTCTGAATAAGTATAAAGCAGATTCGTACAGTAATTGTTCTGCTAATGGAGTAGAACATCAGAGCAGCACTCAGAAACTGGTTTCATCAAGACAAATAGAAGAAATATGCAACTCTCATTCTGATCTATATTGTCCACTTTTACTAACTGGTAGAACTCAAAATTGTTGGTTTTGTGGGTTCTTTGATGCTTTTGTCTTATGCTTGGGAAAAAGGCAATAAGGCTTTAATCTCTACAGCAATCAGCAGCTGGAGAGATATAGTGAGTGACAAGCATAGATGGGGCAGTAGCAATACCCAGCTGCGGAGCTTGGCTTACTGAGCTCCATCCCAGGCTAATTACTCCAATTAATCTTCCTATTTGCAGCTAATGGGGTCATCTAAAAAGGAGAAGTGGGAAATGGAAGGATAAAAAAGACAAGCTGGGAGAGTTAATGGTGTAGTGGATGTTGTGCTTTTATCTGGGAGATCCAGCTTCAGAGAGCCAGTCTGGGGTAGGGATTAGAGTATTGGACTAAGTCAGGGGGGACCTGTGTTCAAATCCACACTTGGACATGAAGCTCACTGGATGACCTTGGGCTAGTCACCACCTCTTAGCCTAACTTACTTCTAAGGATGGGAAAGAAACTTCACTCAATTCTTACTTAAAGGCAAACTTAAGCAAATTTACAATTTTGCAAAACAATGTGCAAACCCAAATGCAGCCATCCTTTGAAATTTGCACTTCTTTGAATTTTGCAGTGCAATTCTCCAGTCAAAGAATGTGTACAAAATTGTAGATTGTAGGCTAAAGTGCGCATAAAAATGCATACGTTAGTGAACAAAGAATACAAAAAAGGCAATACATAAAGGGGGAAATGTTTTGCAAAAATGTGTCTATTAGGCAAAAATTGCATTTGAACATGTGTGTAGTAGAGAAAACACTGACGGATTTTCACAAAG